GCTGAGCCATGATATTTCATCTTTATATAGCTTTATTTATTGACTTAATGTATTATCTCTACTATGTGCTATTAGACATTATTGCCAAGAATTAAAGAAAGAAAAGTAATTAAAATGAACAGCTTTGCGATTTCATGTAGGTTTGATTATAAATGAAACTTCAATATAACTCTTGTGAATATTTAAAATTTCCTATTTACAGTGAAATTAATTTATTATACCACCTCCTACAAGAACTATTGTAAAATTATCGCTATGAATGAGTGTGCTTTGAAAACTCAGAAAACTGCTTGAAATATGCAATTATACTTTGATATCATGATGTATACATGTGATATATGTGTGTGAGTATAATAAAATGGGTAATTTTTAAAAGGAAAAAGTCGTATAACTGAGATGAATGTGTTACTTAGTTCCATGTAAGCATTTCACATTGTATATCGAAGCAGTACCCTGAACCCCATAAATGTGTCAATGTACAAAGTTATGATTTAATAAAAATAATTTAAAATACAATAAATAAATACATAAAAGTTTACACCAGAAAAAGAAAAAGCCAAGGAATGTAATATACTAAGCAGTGTGTTACTTCAAACCAGTCATCTTGGAAGAATATGTAAATATTCTAATTATTCTCTTTTGTTATTGTTAGTTCCCAGAAAACAGATAAGACTTATGTGAACCAGGAGAGGAAAAACTGAAATGCAAGGTGGTATCTTAATGATCTGACAGAAAGTTCTCAATGCACTGTTCTGTTAGGTCAGACGAGACATCTTCTGTGAGACCACACAGAATTCCTGAATCTCCAAACAGTAGGTGGGAGGGAGGAAGGGAAATCAATTTAACTTTGACTCCATCTTGAATGCAGCATCTCCTAGGAGGCCTAATTTCCGTGAATTTCTAGGTTCTTGATCTGACTTTTTCTGGCAGCCTTGGGAAAGCCAAAGCTTCCTCGGAGTATTCATCCAGCTGAGTGTACATAGTGTCTTTCATGTTGATGGGCACCAGGCTGGGGTTCCTATTGGTCTGTAGAATTACTGTAGCATTACTGGCTGAGTCTTTACAGTTGTGGAAACAGAGCAAGCATCTTAGAGAGGGAAGGATGGAGAGATGAGTAGGGGCCTAATAGGACGATTTTAATTGAGTGTAACAACAAAGTCTGGCGCTGTTTCTGTTTCTCTCTCTCTCACAGTACTATTTTTAGTTTTCTCTTTCTCTAAATGTATGAATCAGATTCTATTTTATTTTTTTTTAGAGACAAAGTCTCATTTTGTCACCCTCAGGGGAGTGCCATGGCATTACAGCTCACAGCAACCTCCAGCACTTGGGCTTAGGTGATTCTCTTGCCTCAGCCTCCCAAGTAACTGGGACTAAAGGCACCCACCACAATGCCCAACTATTTTTTTTTTCTTTGCAGTTTGGCCCGGGCTGGGTTCGAACCCACCACCCTTGGTATATGGGCCCTACTCACTGAGCCACAGGCACCACCTGAATCAGATCTTTCAGATCTATTTTACTCCAGCTTTAACTGCAACATACTTTTGTATATTTTCAAAATTAAATCAGTTAGTGAAAAATTAGCATCTGTAATGATGTTAAAAAACATTAATTGCAACTGAAAAACACAAAGAAAATGACACTGTCAAAAGAAACTAGTTAATCAGTTACATGATTTCCAGTATTTAAAAATAATCTTGATTTCCAATTTTAAAACACATGTATGGATTTATAAAAGGAACATTATAATTTGGTAGTATGTATAAAGTTCACTTTTTTAAAAAATCAAATTATTTCTTTTACTCCCTGGCAAGCTGGCATATGATACTGAATTTTTGAACAGTTTTATTGCTCAAAAGTTATTTCAATCCCTTACACAAATTTGTATTGAGAGTCTTTTGCTGTGCTAGAGTTACATGTGAAATTATGCTAACAGTTTTATTGACCTTTTGACTTTTCTCTTAATAACAACAACAAAAAATCATTCTCAGATTGTAATATTATTTTTCTGGAATTTTAAGGTATAGAAAATATAGTTAAAACAGCAAACCTATTTTGCTGTGCAAATTGTGTTCATTAGTGTCAGCTTTTAAACTGATGTTAGTTGTTTTTATTAGAACAATACAAAGTTTCCTGCAAAGAGTCCAACAGCTTTAACAGCTGTAACAGATCAGTAACTAGAACCACTCTTCTGTAAGGACAGAGAATGGAGGGATCACAAACTTCTAATTCTGGGTTCTGAGTGATCAGGAACAGAATAGCCTAGAAAGGACGGTTCTCTTTGTATACTGCATAAAGAACTAGAAAGAAGATTCATTTCTGCCTGCTTTTTGATCTTCAGACTTTATGCTGGCCTCAAATTTGTCAAATACATGGAGGCAGACATTCTTGAGCTCATTCAGGCCCTTGTGAAATGGCTCGACAGCCGGAAAAGCACCTGGAGTCTGAAAGCATAAATTCAAATTGCTGTTTGAAGGATGGGTCATAGTGTAACCACAAGCTTCTTCATGATCATGTAAGGAAAAGAATTTCCTAGGGGATGGTCCTTGCCCTGCAATACGAATGTCACACGGTGTCTACCTGTTCCAGATGCCTGGACATTTCCAGGGCTGTCTTCCTTTCATCTTCACTTGTTGAGGTAGGTCTTCAATCCGGGCATTTTTCTCTCCAGCTCCTGGTTCTCCTCTTCCATCATGAGGGTGGGCTCAGGATGCTCCAGAGGTGCTGGTGGACCCAGGCTCTCCCCAATATTGCCTAACATGGAGGGGGAATAAGAAGGTTAAGTTTGCGCTTAGTCACTGTAGCCTTAACAAATAAGGAATAGATAAGCAAAATAATATATTAATAACAACTTTTGGGCCCAGGGTGGTGGCTTACGCCTGTAATCCTAGCTCTCTAGGAGGCTGAGAGAGTGGCTTGTCTGAGCTCACAGGCTAAGAGACCAGCCTGGGCAAGTGCCAGACCTCCATCTCTAAAAAACAGCTGGGTGTTGTGGAGGGTGCCTATAGTCCCAGCTACTTGGAAGGCTAAGACAAAAGAATTGCTTGAACCCAAGAGACTGAGGTTGCTGCAAGCTATGATGCCACCGCATTCTACCAGGGAGAAACTGAAAACAAATATAGAAAAAGAATAATTTTTATTTGTGTACTCATTGCTATCTTTATATTTTTAGAAAAAATAAATTAATGAAAGAAGCAAGGCAATACTTAACACAATTTTATAAAACAAATAAGGAAAAGTAATCCAATCTTTCTTCACTTAACCAGTGTTCACCAATAAAGAAGTTTTAAATGGATTAGGTAATTTATGGTGACATCACAATTTATATGATAGACTGAAAAACATTAAAACACTAAAACACTATCACTATCATCATGGTTTTAGTGAGTATATTTTGTCTTTTGAAACTATAAATATTACTTTGTATTTTGAATCACATATATTTAGAAAAAAAGATAAGATATATATATATATACACACACTTGTTCCCCTAGCTTATTTTTTATTTATTTATTTACTTATTTATTTTTGAGAGAGTCTCATTTTGTCACCCTTGATAGAGTGCTGTGACGTCACAGCTCACAGCAACCTCAAACTCTTGGGCTCAAGTGATTATCTTGCCCTCAAGTCTCCCATGTAGCTGGAACTACAGGCACCTGCCATAACGCCCAGCTATTTTTTGTTGCAGTTGTTATTGTTGTTTAGCTGGCCGAGGCCTGATTCAAACCCGCCAACCTTGGTGTATGTGGCCAGCGAGGTAACCACTGTGTTATGGATGCTGAGCCTCCCCTAATTATTATTATTATTTTAATCATTGTTGCTGAGTGTTTTGTAGATTAGCACTTTTATCTCTTTCGTGTAATTATCTAGTAGATGTTTCTAAAGATGAAGATGTGGTGAACTGTAAGTCCCCATTTCTGGAATGAATGACTTATTTCCATAGTTGCTGATAGTGCTTCTGATAAACAACCCTTGGCTTTATTCCCCATCTTACAGCAGATCAAAAGAGTCAATCCATTTCCAAATTCATATAGGGTTTGTTGAGGCATGTGTCGAGAAACTGTATCACAGTTCAACTTCTCCCTCCACTAATTTTTGCTTCCTTCTTTTCTCTTCCACAAGTGTTTTTTCCAAAAGCACTCTGTAATAATTATTCTATATTAGTTTAAGAGTCTGATTTCTGGGAATCCCGTACAGTGATGGAATATCTGAGGAATGAGTAAATAGTTTACATGTATTTGAGTCCATAGTTTACACTGTAGGTTAAATATGGAAGCAAATCATTATGACTTATCTTACTAGGAAGTGGACTTTAATTTTCTTCTCCTTACATGTGGACAGTACTTCATAATTTGATGAATAAAATGTGAAAAAAGATGCTTGCTTCTGCAGCACACTTACTAAAATTGGAATGATGTAGAGGAGATTAGCATGGCCCCTGCACAAGGATAATATGCAAATTCACAAAGTGTTCCAGATTTAAAAAAAAAAAAAATGTGAAAGAAGGAACCTTCCAGGCTAGGTTGTAGGAAGCTTTGAAGGTTTGACTTAATGCTTTTTTTTTTTTTTAATACTTGGTGGACTCACAAACTTTATTTTATTTGCATTCATAATAAAATCAAGTAAAATGCTATGACTTAATGCTTTTTTAAAAGATTTTTTCTAAGTTTATTTTGTCTATCATTTCAAAACTTTTTGAGGGCTACCCTGAGATATGTAGGAAATGACATGTTTAGGCACATAAATCTCTCAGGTACTGATACTGGAAAAGTGGCACCCCAGCCAGCTCAGCTGAGCAGGGCCTGGGGGACCTGCCTCCTCTGTCTTGGTGGCAGCAGCCAGCAAAGGAACTGGCAGGCTGGAACAAGCAGGGGAGCCTCCCTCCCCCACTAGAGGCTCCAGTAGAGCAGCTAGAGGACCTGCTGATCAGGGGAAAACACTGGTGCATCCCTGATTGGTCCATTTTCAATCCTATTCCTGATTGGTCTATTTTATAGACCAATCACAGCTAAGCTATTACCCCTATATAAGACCCCTGAGCAGAGAGCCTGAGAGCAGATCATTGCTGACCTTCGAGAGAGGAAGATAGAGCAGAAGAACAAGACTTTGGCAAACTGTTGTAGAACTTCTAGGAAGAAAGAGCAAGAGCTGTAACACTTCTGATCCTGCTCTACAAAGAGACTTGGCTCTTTGTAGTAGCTGTAACACTTCTATCGCTGACCTTCCTCTGCAAAGAAGCTTGCTCCTTTGTAGGAGCTGTAACACTTCTACCGCTGACCCTCCTCTGCAAAGAGGCTTGCTCCTTTGTAGGAGCTGTAACACTTCTACCGCT